GGTTCAAAATGAAAAAGACATGTCTGGAATGGCACTATCTAGGCAATTAATAACAACTGCATAACTGACTGAGCTAAAGTGAGCTGAACAAGATCATTCTTTGGTCACTGTGACCCCTTGTCTGAGAAGGTGTAGTGATTAGCAGGGGTTCGGAACAATCAGAACAGTTTTCTGGCACTTCCAGTTAAAGAGTAATTAAATCTGATAGGCAGGCTAATGCATGTCACTGTTGAATGACTTAATTTTTTGTGTGCTGCAGCCTGTCGTTGCTTCCGGTGATGCCATGGAGATAACAGCTCAGGAATAAGAAAATTAGATATTGGAGCTATATGCTGAATTATGCTAAATTATGTGTTTGTCTTGCAACACAAATTTAAGTTTCTTTCTACTTTCTTCTACGTACCCTGCCGATCACCCTATGGTAGCTGGGATAGGGATAAGCAGAAGAGACTGGATGAATGGGCTGGTTTAGTGTTACATGAACAGGTTGGATGAAAACATCAGGTTGTTTAGTGTGGGTTATACTGATTAGTTAAAAGTTTACAGTGATGCCTTGTGGTTTTCTGGTTACATCTAGAGTACTGTTACTAGGTTACATCAATTTATCTTTAAGGGGATGGTGCTCATTAGATTCACTCACTGAATTCTACCTTTTGTACAAGCTGGGGTTTGGAAATCAGCCATATATCATTTTCCCCACATGCAAAATCTCACTTTAACTCCTGGTCATGAGAGTCACGCTATAGCTGGGAAAGAATATACTTTGAAATGAAACTGATGAAAAATATTTGGCCTTGGACAGATTTATAGTTATGCAGATATTGATGAAGTTGATTGGGAATTTGCTCAAGTACAGATTGATATGACAAAGAAGAACATGTTTTTGTGGTGTAGTTTATTGCACATTGTGTTGCAGAAAATCTACAATTTATCAGAGTAATTTGACTCTGTTGGATGAGTCGATCAGTCTGATTATTTCTTATTAAAGTTTTTGTAAAATGTAAAAAAAAATAAAATCAAAATTTAAAAAAATGGTGGAACAGTCTTTCCCAGCAGGTCCTGTTGCTAGGATCCTCCCAACCCATCCCAACATTTGCAGACCATATTATTACTGTCATTATTAAATGGATGATGAAAGCAGCACTTCACCTGCCACATAGTCTTTGGAAACATCTTTATTTTAGGCCTTAAAAAGCACCTGTAAACTGTAGCTCTGTCACAAGACAACAAAAGGCCTTTTCATCTCTGGCTTCAAATGAAGAGTGTTTAAATAGGAAAACAAGACAAATGAGTTTAACAAGGCTAAGATCAACAACTTGTCAAGAAAGATAGAAGCACTGACTTGATTTCTAATAAAA